CAAAACCCCAGCCGAAGCCGGAAAGAATGGTATTTACTTGATTCCCACTAAATCAAGATATGACACAAGGTCGATTAACGTGGGAGACCCGAGTGTTTCCACTCATAGGCCACTGGTCAAAATATTGGTCAGAGCTTGTCCAAGCTGGTCAGAGCCTAGTCAAAGCTGGTCATAACTTGTCCTAACAGGTCCAGGCCGAAGCCAGTCCAAAGCTAGTCAAAGCTTGATCGAATCTCAGTCTCCGCCAGAAACGATCCATTACTTGTCAAAACCCCCAGCCGAAAAGAAATTTATCCACTAAATCAAGATATGACACAAGGTCGATTAAAGACCCCCAGTGTTTCCACTCATAGGCCACTGGTCAAAATATTGGTCAGAGCTTGTCCAAGCTGGTCAGAGCCTAGTCAAAGCTGGTCATAACTTGTCCTAACAGGTCCAGGCCGAAGCCAGTCCAAGCTAGTCAAAGGTCTCAGTCTTCCACCAAGAAACGATCCATTACTTGTCAAAACCCCCAGCCGAAGCCGGAAAGAAGGTATTTACTTGATTCCCTAAATCAAGATATGACACAAGGTCGATTAACGTGGGAGACCCGAGTGTTTCCACTCATAGGCCACTGGTCAAAATATTGGTCAGAGCTTGTCCAAGCTGGTCAGAGCCTAATCAAAGCTGGTCATAACTTGTCCTAACAGGTCCAGGCCGAAGCCAGTCCAAGCTAGTCAAAGCTTGATCGAATCTCAGTCTTCCACCAAGAAACGATCCATTACTTGTCAAACCCCCAGCCGAAGCCGGAAAGAAGGTATTTACTTGATTCCCACTAAATCAAGATATGACACAAGGTCGATTAACGTGGGAGACCCGAGTGTTTCCACTCATAGGCCACTGGTCAAAATATTGGTCAGAGCTTGTCCAAGCTGGTCAGAGCCTAGTCAAAGCTGGTCATAACTTGTCCTAACAGGTCCAGGCCGAAGCCAGTCCAAGCTAGTCAAAGCTTGATCGAATCTCAGTCTTCCACCAAGAAACGATCCATTAATTGTCAAAACCCCAGCCGAAGCCGGAAAGAAGGTATTTACTTGATTCCCACTAAATCAAGATATGACACAAGGTCGATTAACGTGGGAGACCCGAGTGTTTCCACTCATAGGCCACTGGTCAAAATATTGGTCAGAGCTTGTCCAAGCTGGTCAGAGCCTAGTCAAAGCTGGTCATAACTTGTCCTAACAGGTCCAGGCCGAAGCCAGTCCAAGCTAGTCAAAGCTTGATCGAATCTCAGTCTTCCGCCAAGAAACGATCCATTACTTGTCAAAACCCCAGCCGAAGCCGGAAAGAAGGTATTTACTTGATTCCCACTAAATCAAGATATGACACAAGGTCGATTAACGTGGGAGACCCGAGTGTTTCCACTCATAGGCCACTGGTCAAAATATTGGTCAGAGCTTGTCCAAGCTGGTCAGAGCCTAGTCAAAGCTGGTCATAACTTGTCCTAACAGGTCCAGGCCGAAGCCAGTCCAAGCTAGTCAAAGCTTGATCGAATCTCAGTCTTCCACCAAGAAACGATCCATTACTTGTCAAAACCCCCAGCCGAAGCCGGAAAGAAGGTATTTACTTGATTCCCACTAAATCAAGATATGACACAAGGTCGATTAACGTGGGAGACCCGAGTGTTTCCACTCATAGGCCACTGGTCAAAATATTGGTCAGAGCTTGTCCAAGCTGGTCAGAGCCTAGTCAAAGCTGGTCATAACTTGTCCTAACAGGTCCAGGCCGAAGCCAGTCCAAGCTAGTCAAAGCTTTGATCGAATCTCAGTCTTCCACCAAGAAACGATCCATTACTTGTCAAAACCCCCAGCCGAAGCCGGAAAGAAGGTATTTACTTGATTCCCACTAAATCAAGATATGACACAAGGTCGATTAACGTGGGAGACCCGAGTGTTTCCACTCATAGGCCACTGGTCAAAATATTGGTCAGAGCTTGTCCAAGCTGGTCAGAGCCTAGTCAAAGCTGGTCATAACTTGTCCTAACAGGTCCAGGCCGAAGCCAGTCCAAGCTAGTCAAAGCTTGATCGAATCTCAGTCTTCCACCAAGAAACGATCCATTACTTGTCAAAACCCCCAGCCGAAGCCGGAAAGAATAATTTGGTGGAAAAAATCCGCTGTGTATATATAGGCTGAGGTCGGCAACGTAGCCTGTCAGCGATATATTTGGGGTGATGACTGAAAATTACCTTCTACTTTTTGGCTGTACACATGGGTTCCATTCGGACACCATGTGTATATAAAGTAGTTTCTGGTAATTGTTTTTGGTTAGGAAAGTTAGTATATGTAAATGTTTCGTTTTTTTTAGTTTGTGTGAGACGTTGACTGAAAAACGCTTAGTCACCGGAAGTTAACGGCATTCGTTATGTTTTCCGCGGTGACGCTTTTAGATGTTTGAGTAGCCGGCAGTAACTTCCGGCCGGGTGCGATAAGGCCCCTTCCTAGAGGATTGATCGTGATCAATTCACAAAAAATGTAAGTCTTTAGTTTGGCAGGAAAATGAACTCTTCTGCCTGATTTTGTTCGTACGACTGGTGTTGTTGTTTCATCTTCCGTCGTTGTTGGTAAGTCTGGCTCGGGAGAAGTTTCCTCTAACCAAGCTGGTTTAAGTCGGTCGATGGAGACTGTATCTTTGTTTTTGCCGCGCATGATCGTGACAAATTTCTTAGAACGCTTCAGAACTTTAAAAGGGCCTTGGTAGCTAGGTGTGAGAGGTTTTTTTACGGCGTCGTTCCTAACAAAAACAAAATCGCAGGTATCCAATTTCTGTGGTAAGTAGGAGCTTGTGGTTTGTTTTCGTGGGGGAGTGTATGTAAGTTTGTCCATTTTGTGGCGCAGATCTTGCACGAAAGAACTTGGTGTGGATGTGCAAGAGTACTGCGGAAGGTGAAAATATTGCCCTGGTAAGGAGAGAGGCGTACCAAACACGAGCTCTGCTGTCGAACACCCTAAATCCGTTTTGAGGGTATTCCGCAAAGAGAGCATGGTCATGGGGAGGTTGTCGACCCAGTTGTGTATGTCGAGTTTGGTTGACAGGGACGTCTTTAAGGATCGGTGAAATCTCTCCACGAGGCCGTTTGCGCAAGGATGGTAAGCCGTCGTTTTAATGTGTCTGACACCCAAAAGTTGAGAGAATTCTCGGAAAAGCGAGGACTGAAATTGTGGTCCCCGATCTGTAGTGAGAACTTGTGGTACGCCAAAGTTTGTAATCCAGTTGGTGAGAATGGCTTTAGAAACTGTGGTAGCGGAAATGTCCTTAATCGGCACAGCGACTGGCCATCTCGAAAACGGTCTATGATTGTTAGAAGGTATTGGTACCCCTGGCACATTGGTAGAGGCCCGACGAGGTCAACGTGGATGTGGCTGAAACGTGCGTCGGGTGTGGCGAATGTTCCAACTGGTGATTTTGTGTGCCTCTGAATTTTGCATTTCTGACATTGTATGCAGGTTGAGACCCAATTCCTAATGTCTGAATTCATGTTGGGCCACACAAATCGATCGGCGATAAGCTTGACGGTTGCTCGCTTGCTCGGATGGGATAGATTGTGGAGATGGAGAAATACTTTTTTTCTAAGAGATGGAGGAATGTACGGTCTTGGAGTATCCAGTGCGGTGTCACAGAAAAGAGTTTTATCGCTGAACGGACACGGGAATTCCTGCAGTTTCAAAGAAGTCTCCTTAATGATGTCAGGTATCGTCGTATCGTCTTTTTGTTTGTCGGCTATCAGCTCCTGGCTCCAAACGTCGTTATCCATGGTATTGACGTCTGTTCTGGACAATGTGTCTGCGACGGTGTTGTTCTTTCCTTGGACGTGTCTGATGTCCGTCGTAAACTGTGAGATGTAGTCGAGGTGACGTGTTTCACGGGATGTATACTTGTCTGCGCTGACATTCATCGCGTTGATCAGTGGTTTGTGATCCGTGAAGATAGTGAAATGTCTGCCTTCCAGAAGATGTCGAAAATGACGTATGGACAGGTAGATCGCCAGGAGTTCTCGTGAGAAGGTGCTGTATCTTCTCTGGGCTGCAGAGAGTTTAGCTGAGAAGAAGGCTATCGGCTGTCTCGTCATGTTCACTTGCTGCTCCACTACTGCTCCTATTCCAACGTCGGAAGCGTCTGTTGTAAGGAAAATTCTTGTTTCCGGGTCGTTTTCGATGAATGAGAGTTTTGTGAAGTTTATCAGCGCTGTCTTTGCCGTTTCGAAAGCCCGCAAGGTATCTCCCTCTAGGGTAATTTGTTTGTTCTTCCGCTCTATGATGTTTGTTAACGGGGAGAGAATTGTCGAGCAGTCGGGTATGAACCTGCGGTAAAAATTTATCATACCGATAAATCGTCTGATTTGCTTTGTGGATGTCGGCGTAGGGAAATTTTTTATCGCGTCGACTTTCTCTCGGTAATGGTGTGATACCGTCTTTGTCGATATGATGGCCTAAGAAGTTCACCTCAGATGCCCCGAAAATGCATTTGTCCATGTTCAGCCGGAGTCCATAAAGTGCTATTCTTTGGAACACTTCGTTTAGATGTTTTTTGTGTGTGTTTTCATCTATTCTGGCTACTAGTATGTCGTCGATGTAGGCATACGCGTACGTTAAGCCGCGCAGTACCTCATCTATGAAGCGTTGGAACGTTTGTGCAGCATTCCTCAGGCCAAAGGGCATCTTTGAGGTATTCAAAGAGACCAAAGGGAGTGGTTACGGCTGTCTTTGGAATGTCCTCCGGAGCTATGGGGATCTGGTGGTAGGCCTTAGTTAGGTCTATCTTCGAAAAGACGCGAGTGCCCTGCAACCCTGAGGCGAAATCGTGTAACGGGACCGGATAGCGATCGGGTATGGTTGTAGCGTTTAATCTTCTATAATCGACACATACCCTAAAGTCTGTGCTTCCCGGTTTAGGTACGAGATGTAGGGGTGAGGCGTATGGGCTATCGGAGGGTCGTATGAATCCGTCCTTCAGCATATTGTTAAACTCCTTTTGGGCGTATTCCAGCTTATGAGGAGGAAGTCGTCGTGGGTGGGAAAATGTTGGCTGTCCACTGGTCTTTATATGGTGCTGTGTTTGGTGTCTCGCCGGACCGGTACCTGCGAGTGGTTGAATGAGGTCCGAGTATCTGTTTAGGATCTCGATGTACTCTCGTCCGTGGCAAGTTGTCACACTGATTCCAGTGGTGTTGTGTCGAGAGAGGGTGCCTTTAACAGCAATGTTCGTGGTATTGTCTGATAAAGTTCTCGTATTCATGTGCACGGCTAGATCATAATGGGCCAGGAAATCTGCCCCGAGTATTGGCGTTTTTACGTCTGCCTGGGTGAAAGTCCAGGTAAAATCGCGCCGCATACCGATGTTCAGAGTCAGTGTTTTGGCTCCATATGTCTCGATCGTCGAGCCATTTGCTGCCTGGAGTTTATACGGGGTCGCCTTTCGGTCTTGCTGTTCTTTGGGGGTATCACGCTGATAGCTGCTCCTGTGTCCACTAGAAACTTTATGTTGTTCCGTCGGTCCCATACGTAGAAAAGGCGGCTTCGTATGTTTTTGCCGGGGTTCTGCCACTCCTACCCGCCGGCTGTTTAGTTTTCCGACTTGGTTTTGGAGCTGTATTTGCAGGGTGCCGAGCAATTCTTTGCCCTGGTGCCGAATCTGTGATGGTACCAGCATAATTCCGGGTCGACTCGTCGATCCCTGCTGGTACTCCGTGCTCTCCGTCGCCAACCGCCGGTCGCCGGCATCGGGCCTCTCGATGTGCGGGAAAGGAGAATTCGTATATCCTGCAGCTGATGTTGCAGGTCAGCTACTGCCTTTTCCAGGTCCGTTTCTTTGGCTGGTGTGTCGTCTGGGCGCTGCACGGCACACACCCTTGGTCCAGTTTAGTTGCGATGCGGTCAGCGGAGTTTGCTAACTGGTCTAGTGGAGTGTTGGTCAGCGATTGGTGCCAATATCTGCGTTATGGTAGTGGGTAACTTGTCCATCCACAGTTCGCGCAAGATTGATTCGGCCATGGAATGTTTTCCCAGTCGGCTCCTCATGAAGCGTAGAAGCTGTGAGGGTGTTCTGTCGCCCCTGGTGACGTGGGTAAAAGTTCCCGGAGCAGTTCCTCGTCCGAACGGCCGGTTCGTTTCAGAATAGCATCCTTGAGGCGAGTATATGGCTCCTGCTCGGGTACGTGTTCCAAGATGTCGGCTACTTCGTCGACAACTGAAGGTGGCAAAACTTGTACCACGTTGACGAATTTTGCTTGTTGTGATGTGATTTTCCGTACTGAGAAAATGGCTTCCAGCTGTAAAACCAGTTCTTGGTGTTCTGCTCGTTGTACGGAGGGAGGTTTGTGAGTGGCATTGCCACATTTATGAGAGTGTTCTGTTCCCCACTCGTCAGTTGCCATCTTGCTCGATCGTAAATATCAGGGTCACCACTTGTTGCGGCGCTAAGCAGGTTGACTGTTAACCCCGCAAACGGAAAAATAATATAAGATAATACGATCGAAGCAAGGACAACAAAAACGAGGATGTAAAAGTTTAAGCCAAATTTTATTAAATAAATCTGGCACGAATATATACAAATAATCGTTTGTAGTAGTTCGGTCGTGTAGTCTTGGAGGAGCGTTGTCAGGTTTCAAGGCGACAGCTTGGAGGTAGGCCGAATGGAAACAGGGATGTCCGAGGTCCAGTCGATCCCTGGATGTCTGTACTTGAGTAAAGGGTGCGTCGGCGCTTGCAGAGAGAGAGGATCGACGCGGACAGTGCTGTGGTGTAGTCAGTTCGTCCTTGGGTGGAGTGTCGCGCAGGATCGCAGCTTGGTAGTCCTAATAAAAGGACGTTCGGCCAGGTTAGTCCTGAAAAGGACTATTGCATATTATGTAATCGAGGGCAGACTATTGCATATCATGTAACCGAGGATAGGCTAGTGCATATCATGTAGCCGAGGATAGACTAGTGCATATCATGTAACCGAGGATAGGCTAGTGCATATCATGTAGCCGAGGATAGGCTAGTGCATATCATGTAACCGAGGATAGGCTAGTGCATATCATGTAGCCGAGGATAGACTAGTGCATATCATGTAGCCGAGGATAGGCTGCTGCTGATATCTGCTGGCCTTGGCTGCTGCTGATGAGGAGGCCGGACTGCTCTGCTGGCTCTAGCTGCTGCTGCTGCTGATGATGAGGAGGCCGGACTGCTCTGCTGGCTCTAGCTGCTGCTGATGTCTGCTGGCCTTGGCTGCTGCTGATGAGGAGGCCGGACTGCTCTGCTGGCTCTAGCTGCTGCTGATGTCTGCTGGCCTTGGCTGCTGCTGATGAGGAGGCCGGACTGCTCTGCTGGCTCTAGCTGCTGCTGATGTCTGCTGGCCTTGGCTGCTGCTGCTTCGTGTGGTCAGCGTAGGTGAGAGGGGGGAGCTCGTCGCTCAACCCCGAGGCCAAAAATCAGCCGAGAAGAATAATTTGGTGGAAAAAATCCGCTGTGTCTGGCTGAGGTCGGCAACGTAGCCTGTCAGCGATATATTTGGGGTGATGACTGAAAATTACCTTCTACTTTTTGGCTGTACACATGGGTTCCATTCGGACACCATGTGTATATAAAGTAGTTTCTGGTAATTGTTTTTGGTTAGGAAAGTTAGTATATGTAAATGTTTCGTTTTTTCTTAGTTTGTGTGAGACGTTGACTGAAAAACGCTTAGTCACCGGAAGTTAACGGCATTCGTTATGTTTTCCGCGGTGACGCTTTTAGATGTTTGAGTAGCCGGCAGTAACTTCCGGCCGGGTGCGATACTATCACATCACATCTACTATCATATAGACCCGCTATAATTATTAACATAAACTACCCTCTCGCCCAGCATATTAAATATTAAATATCACCATATAAAATAACCAATAACGATTACAAACCGAATTTCTACCTGTTACATATACACAGTCATCAAAAACAAACAAATAACCAGCTTTAAATATAACAAATAAACACCCTTTTTTTCAAAAATTTTAAAATAAATATAAATAAAAATAATAATAATTTTTACCTATCATAATTTTACACAAACCCCACCACACGTATATACATACATGCGAGGAAATATTATTCAGTGGAAAGATAGAAAAATGACATGTATACATTCACGAGACATTCACGAGAAATTTCCGCTACACTTCCAATCTTTGAATTTCATCATACAAATGCGTATGTATAGACACAACACCACCCGTATACATACATATGTCATATCCGAAACTGTCCACATATGTTTATATATGTATGAGTCCCGACGGACGACCAAGTGTGTATGTGTGTCTGCGTACTTTATTGGGTGTATGAACATACATCGATGTTTGCGTTAGCACGATGACATCACGACGACGTTTCCCCCCCCCACCTTCCATAATAACACCAATACACGCAATCTACATAAACCCAAAATTTTAAAAAAATTAATCAGTTTGTCTGACGATCGCAAAAGCGTGAAACCCAGGGTCACAAAATCACATCTATCCAACCAAATATGTTAGCTCTATCTCTGATAATGAGCACTTTCTAATAAGTACCGCGCATATAATATATAAATAATCATATATATGTATATTTATTTATATTTATGTACACACACTTTTCACACACACACACACACACACACACACACACACACACACACACACACACACACACACACATATATATATATATATATATATATATATATATATATATTTACAAATTCATGTATCAGGTATGGAATAGATGTTGTTCTTGTTTTTTCTCTCAGTAATAAGAGGACAACGAAAATATATGTATTGTTGTATCCGAAAAATGCTATAAGAAGATGTCTGTAGGAACAGACGAAAGCTTGTAGTAAAAATAAGAACTAATGCAACAGAAATTTATAAAAACAAGGATCTTTTCATTCATAACAGGTTCGGGGTTTTTGTATATTATTTGAATTGTTTGCGACGATGGATTTCTCGCCAATTAAATCATTAACCTTTGTATTTGTTTTTGTATGAATAATTCATGAATTTGTAAATTGATTGCACCTCTATTGAAACTAAAATAACTGATCCAAGTGCAACTTTTGGATAATAAGTGCGACATTACTGTAATTATTGAACAATATAGTTCATGCCACTTTGACAGAAAATTTACCAGTAAAAAAGAATTCGCTTTATCACCATATTTGTACAAGAACGCACAATTGTAAAATTTAAAATCAAACTCAGCGTTGCTACTGCACGCTCCAAAAACAATAACTCATTTCTAATAGCATTTTTCGGATACAACAATACATATATTTTCGTTGTCCTCTTATTACTGAGAGAAAAAACAAGAACAACATCTATTCCATACCTGAAGATGTCTGTAGGAACAGACGAAACTTGTAGTAAAAATAAGAACTAATGCAACAGACATTTATAAAAACAAGGATCTTTTCATTCATAACAGGTTTGGGGTTTTTGTATATTATTTGAATTGTTTGCGACGATGGATTTCTCGCCAATTAAATCATTAACCTTTGTATTTGTTTTATATATGAATAATTCATGAATTTGTAAATTGATTGCACCTTTATTGAAATATATATATATATATAGATATATAGATATATAGATATATATATATATATTTAAACCTTTATAAATATTTCAATAGTTAAGCAATTTTTTAGATATAGTAAAAAAATTTTTTAAACAACGTTTAAAATATTTATGACAGTTAGATTTAAGTTAGAAATATATATATATATATATATATATATATAAAAAATCGATTGAAAAATCCACAACATCAGTAACATTTTTAGACACCCGCATTTACATAGATGAAAAACAGGAAACTACAAACGACACTACACACTAAAATCACTGACACCCACAACTATCTACACTTTAAGTCTTCCCCACCCTAAACACCTCAAAGCGAACCTTCCCTATTCACAAGCACTTAGACTCAGAAGGATATGTTCCAACAATGAAGAATTAAATAAACACATTGAAAATCTGGAGCATCAATTCACAACACGTGGCTATAAACAACACCTAATCAGGGAACAAATAAATAAAGCAATTTCACACCTAGAGAAGACACCCTAATATACAAGATTAAAAATAAATCTAGCCGCATCCCTCTAGTAACCACTTTCAATCCCACTCTGCCTCCACTATCCCAAATAATCAAACGTCGCTGGGAAATACTACATCTCAAACCAGACCTAAAAAACTGCTTAAGGAACCCGGCCTTCTGGCATATCGTAGACCTAAGAACCTAAAAGAAATCATAGGTAGTAACCACATTTCAGGGACAAGGTAATCCGTAAGAAACTGAGAACAAAAACAACAGGATTTTCCCAACCATGTAACAACAAAAAAGAAGTTTATGTTGCAACCATATTAAAAACACGAATTCATTCACTAGCTCAATCACTAAATCTACTTTCAAAATCTACCACGATTCTAACTGTAGAAGTCAAAACATAATTTACCTCCTAGAATGCACACTATGCCAGAAACAATATGTAGGAAAATCTGAATGGCCCTTTAACTACAGAATTAATAATTATCGTAAGCGAATTAAATCGACTCCCCTATGAACAGTTATTACCTGTAGAACAACATTTCCGCCTAGAAAAAACACGATTTCAAAACCCATGCCAGATTCACTTTAATTGAGAGAATAGAAAAGTTCAGAGCAGATAACATTAGAAAAATTTTAGAGTCCCATGAAAATAAGTGGATACAACGTCTAAAAAACACAATACCCAGCCGGGCTAAAATCACAAATTTAACAACATATAATGGTAACAATCAAATCAAAACCTACCCACATTTCTCACCCACACAAGACAGACATGCTTAAGGAGGAATGGAGGCCTCCACTTATACACTCACCCACACGATTATACACACGTACACACACCATACTCACTCACTCCCTAATGAGCCAAATGATAACACACACCTACAGCAATGCACACGCTTACACATATCATACTCACTCACCCCCCAAGAACCAAATAACACACACACAAACACTAAACAGAGACACATCCCCTCACCAGGTCCAATAAAACTGTCAAACTGACCAGAGAATTCAGGATAAAATGTATCTTATCCAGTTCTTATCTCAAATAACAACTTAAAAGAGACTGTTTGACCAACACAAGGAATGTTAAAAGATTCATGTTAAAAAAGATAAAAAATAAAAAAACAAATAAAACTACAGACAAAAAGTTCATTTTCTCCAACAAAAGACATTCATTTCTGTAGTTCCTTGCTAACAGCAAGCAGAAATATTTCGCCTCCCGATGATGGCCATTTCGGTCGAAACTAGTCGAGGAATTTAAATGGAATAATAATAATAATAAAAAAACGAAAGAATATTAATCTACAACCCAGTGTGT